TAAACAACAAATAAAACTAATAATTGAATTTCCTAATACAAAATTCTATGTTATACATATATTTTAAAAACATGTCCTCATTTTATACACAGCTGTGCTGTATTCTTTAGTTTCTTCTTAGCACATTTATGACAAATGGGATCTGATCTTAAACCATTTTATAAAATTTAGCTGAGGGGACTAGGCAGGTATTCATATGTAATGAAATATGAAAAACTTAAAATAATGTAGAAAGGACTTCTATTTCTGATAGCATGTTTGATTAGATGCCCTGAAAAAGCCTCCTAATTGAAACAAATAAAATACAAATATATTACTGAGTAGGCATGAAAGAATGGCATCTATAGATTTCAAAATTAAGTGAAAGCAGAAACCTTAACAAGGGAGTAAATGCTAAAGGTAGTTTTGAAGGTTTCTATTTATACGGTGATGTCTACAAGTAGAAGAACAATAGGATGTAAAGCTCAGGACCACTCCGGGTGATGATTCCAATCGAAGACTTCTGCATAAAATTGAGATCCCCAAAGGCCATCTTCACAGTAGAAGTAACTAAGGCACAAATAGAAGCTTAATATATGCAAATTTCAAAAATTATTTAGGAGGTTACAAGATCCCAGGACAGAATGCAAAATGTGACAAATCTAATTATATTACATGTGTGTAAAACTACCTCACTCAAAGAAGACAAAGGAAAACGTACTTATTTAAATATCACTGGAGGGGCTGGGGATTTAGCTCAGCGGCAAAGTGCCTGCCTGGCAAGCGCAAGGTCGTGAGTTCGGTTCCTGGTACCGGAGAAAAAACAAAAACAAAAACAAACAAACAAAAAAAAACAATAAATATCACTGGAAATAAATGGAATCTGCAAGACCAAAGGCAAGATTAACTAAACACAGCACTGTACCTGAACTGATAAGACTGCTTCCCACACAAGGGAACAGTTCTGATGCTGTTATACATATTGATCTACAGATGCACAATAAAGCAAACACATGGCAAATGATGGCAGCCCGCTTTCCGCTGTGGAGGTAGGAGTTTACAGATACGCAAGGAAAGGCTAAAAGGACCATACGGATAACAGAGGCAGAGATATCCATAATTCATGTTTACTTTAATATAGAAATGGTTACAATGGAAATATTTACAGATATTTGTGCTACTCACATATATTTCCTCAACTGTCAGCTAACAGGGCCTAGAAGCAATGACACTGAACTATCATGAGCACATCTAGTTCTCAGGCATTGTTTTCTAATTGCATTCTTAATAAAAAGAGCCAGGGACTGTTGGGGAAATACCTGATTCTAGGACTGGAACAGTATATATGCATAACTAAGAGGAGCCTGAATGTCTTAAAATGCAGAAAGTACTATACTAAAGCTCCTCTCCAAACCAATCAAACAACACCCCCGCCAAAAAAAACCTTCAAAATAAAACCAAAACTCCACAATGCTGAGGGTATGTCGTAGTGACAAAGGGGCCAACTGTAAGAGCTCTCAATGGCCCAAACTGGCAGCATTTGAGAAACCAAAGAAAGTAACTTTGGACTATAATTCAAAGTACACAACAAATACTCATGATTCCATACAGACATACACAGATGGAAGAGAAGAGACAAATCTTCTACGCAGAAGAAGCCTAAATAATGGGTACTCTACTCTTCATGAGGGGCGCATACCTCACTCGCAGCACGGGCTGTGGGTAACAGCGTCCCACTGAAGAGCGCAACACGCAGAGAGGCGTGCCAGATACTGTCTCTACAAGGCAGCCAAGGTTAGCACCAGCAGCCACAGCTGTGTGGACAGTTTGTGTCCTTGATAAAGGTGATGAAAATGGCAGCTTACCCTGAGACCTTCTTCCCAGTCTAATCATGAGAAAAAAATGCATTCATTCTCACTGAGGGAAGGGCGTTCCACAAAATATATATGCAAATTTCAAAACAAGCCCTCTTCAAAACTGTCAAAAATCATCCAACACACATTCTTGGAAACTTTCCCGAGGCGCCCAAGAAGACATGACATTGTGTCAACACGGGAAGTCTAGAGCTTTGGCTAAGTGACTCAGCAGTTCTCCATCCTGGGGTGAAAAGGACACGCCCTTCCTGCTCTAGGATGTTGCTCATTGTGTCAATTTGAGAAGCTTAGAAGGTCAACTATGTGACTCAGCAGGGAGCCAGGGTGCTCACTTTGTGTTTATCCTGAGCCTGCACAAGAGGAGGGCACTGAGAGTATGTCAGTGCTACACGCCCCCTGGGTGGGGGAGCCTGCTTACAATATAAGGGAGGAAAAGAGGCTTGTTGCTCCCTCCTTTTGCTCTTGTTGCTTTGCTGCCTTCTGCCGCCATGAACGTTTGCCCTCTGCCATGTGCCACTCTGCCTCAGAGCCAGCCAGGTGTATACTCAGACCTCCACTAAATAAATCTTTCCTTCCTTAATTTTGGACGTTGGGTATTTTGTGTCAGCAATGACAGGAAAGTAACCAAGACAAAAACCCTCTTCAAAACTGTCAAAATCATCAAACAGATTCTTGGAAACTTTCCAGAGGAGCCTAAGAAGACATGATGATTGGGTATAATATGATATCCTGCATGGAATTCTAGAAAGCAAAAGATATTAGGTAAAAATTGAGGAACTCTGAATAAAGAATAGGCTTTAATTGATAATAATGCTAGGTTGGGTTTAGTGACTAGAACAAATAAGCCAGATGAATGTAAGATGTTGATAATGGAGGATACTAGGTGTAGGGTAAATGGGAACTCTATATTATATTCTCACTTTTCCTGTAAATGTACAACTATTTAAAGTAAAGCAAAAGCAAAAAAATAAAACATACTTATCTTGACTTTGGCACTGGATGAAGGAAAACAAGAACATATAGGGGAAAAAGCTTTAGAAATTTCTATCATAAGCTGATGCTAACACTTATTTTTTCTTCATTCATTCATAGTATTTGTATTACCTAAGACACCTGTGAAAATTTTAATGCAATAAAGTGGTGTGGTCATGCTCCCAGGCAACTCTCAAAAGCAAATGCCAATTGTGCTGGAAGATTTCAAACTTAATGTTGGTTTCAAAGATGTTCCAAAAATAAAGTTTTCCCTCCAAAAGTATCTCATAATCAAAAACTATATAAAATGTGAAAGGAAGCAGGCCAGGTAAGTAAGAGGGAAGAGCAACAGAACCAAATACTTCAGAGAATAGTTATAAGACACAAAATAGAAAATGACTATTATTAATACATGTTAAAAATTAAAAGTTGCAACATTTTGACAAAAAATAAAAATTATAAAAAATGACACAGATGATTTGCAAAATAACCAAGTTAATTTTTTAAACTTCAGATTCAATAAATCCTTCTGGAGTATCCCCTAGATGCTTAGGGCTTGTATTAAACACCTTCACATGGCTTTTACTTTTATAATAATAAAAATTGAATTGATGGATACTAAAGTTTTAAAAACTTTACATAGAAATATTTTACATTATTTTTCTTTTCCCTGTAATCTGAACTCTTCCTATTGATCGTTTTCCATCTGACCCAAATCTACCTCTATAGATTTGTATTTGTATTTTTTATTAGTAATTTTTTTAATTTTAGACTTTCTATTTGTTATTTTTCAAATATGGTATTACTTTTATATTTAGTGTTTCCTGAAGATTTTTTCAATCTTATCTTTTATTCCTTTAAGTGGAATTGTCCTGCATGTGTTCCTGGTCCTGCATGTGTTCTGGTCATTGTTGCTAGGTGATTATTTTTAGGAATAATTTGAGCCCAAGAATGATTTTATCTTCAGCAAAAGCCAGGCGTGGTGGTGCACACCTGTAATCCCAGCACTCAGGAGGCTGAGGCAGGAAGATCATTGAGAATTCAAGACCAGCCTGGAATACAAAGTGAGCTCAAGACCAGTTTGAACTGCATGGTGAGACTCTATCTCAAAAAAAAATCATAAATTGTTATGATTTGAAAAACTAATTATTTGGGGCTGGGGATTTAGCTCAGCAGCACAGCGCCTGCCTGGGAAGTGCAAGGTTGTGAGTTCGATTCCCAATACCAGAAAAAAAACAAAAACAAAAACAAAAAAAGAATCCAGCAGAGAAAAATTTTACTTGCTTCTTCCAGGTGTCTGAATCTGCCAGTCCACACCACCTTGTTGCACATTCAAAGACTGAGGTTGTCCCAAATTATCTAAATGAGCCAAAGTTGGCTGCAAATGGGTGGGAATAGTGGTTCGTTTCTATTTTACCATTTTCCTGAGCTCACAGACAGATTTTTATTTATTGACTCCCTACCTTGGGAGAGCCCACGGCATGGCTTTTGCCTCCTTAGTGTCACAAGAGTTTTATAATTGTCCCTTAGTTTTGCAGCTGTTTCTTGCAGAGCATCAATGCCTCAAAAACAAAAACAGCACTGAGTGCTGAGCACACTCCTCTAGATTCTTATCTTTCAGGTTTTTGACCCAATAATTTTTCATTATCATATTAGCTAGAGGTTTTAACAGAGACAAGCTCTCAGGAAAAAATTGACCCAAGTAAAAAGAGGCACTTAAGTAGACAAGCACAACTTTCCTCATTGTCCAGTTAAGGACCTTTGACTTCACCAGTGCCCAAGCCATACATGCCTGTCTCCAGGAAATATATATTCTGTATATAAAACTTCAGCTCATGATTGTACCAGGTCTTTCTCTCTTGATTTCCCTAATAATCCAAGGAGAATGGCTTGATAAAACTTTAAGGGGCCGTAAAAAGGACCCACTAAGGTCCATAGAAAGGATAAACATGGGGGTTTATGACTGATAGGTTTTAGGAATTTGGTTTTCTTTTCTGGACCTAAAATGAGACCTGGTGTGTCAGGTCTATCATGAGTACATGCTCAATTGGTACCTAGGTCCCTGGCCAGCAAGACTAAGAGGTCCTCCTACCTAACATGAATGCTTGTTAGAGAAACAGCTGATAGTAGTATCAATTGACAGATCTACAGCCATGACATAAAGAAAGGCCTCACCTGCCTGGTGAAGGCCTCCAATTTATACATTTCTCTGGATGTTCAGTCCCTCTCTTAGTCCAGAGCAGGTTAGCGAGAATTCTGAGGCAGAATACTTTCCCTCTCAAAAAAATCACACTCAAGGTCGTGAGTTCGGTTCCCGGTACCGGAGAAAAACCAAAAAAAAAAAAAAAAAAATCACACTCATATAATTTAGCATCTGTCACTGTATAACAATTCATATTTAATAAAGGGCTTTAGTACATTGGCCATGCACCCAAATTCTCAGACTTTGCTGTTTAATGTTAGCCATTAGCCATGTATGACTACTGATCTCTTGATCACAGTCAGTATATATGACTGACCGAGCTGTAAGTATGAATTATAACTCAGATTTAAAGACCAGTATGAAAAATCTTATAATTTTTATATTGACTACATGTTGAAATAATATTTTAGATAAACTGAGTTGAATATATTATTGAAGTCAACTTCCTCTGCTTCCATTTATAGAAGTATCATAGTATAATACAAAAAAAATGTGGATTATGATCTCTATTCTTACCATTAACTAGCGATGAGACATACTAAATAATGATAATTCTGAGTGTTTCTTCATATAAAATAGAAGGTGCTTGATTACGTCCCCTCTGTAGTTTCTTCCAGTCCTATTTAATTATTATGGTTAAACCTTTTTTTCTAAAATATTTTCCATGTATAAGATATCCTTAGTTTTTACTGTATATATAGTTTTTGAACTTGTTTTCAAAAAGTATATACAAATAAGTTCTGTGTTTCATTTAATACAAAGACCCACAGCAATTTATTTTATATAGCACACATTAATTTTCTATATTGCAATTATAAATTTCACCATTAAAATAGTTTTGTTATGAAGGTTTTCATTTTAATATTGATATTGCCATGATTCTTACTTATCCTCTGTACCTTAGCTGTTCTTTCTCAGATCACCCGGTTCTTCATCCATTCCTGCCTTCTCTATTTCTTCTAAACACTTCTGGTTGGATTTTATGTTTTGCCCTGACTTCACTGTGTCCTTCAATACACTCTTAGGACTAAGCTCTCTGCTTACCTCTCATCAGCGCTCTTGAGAAAGCTTTCCACCCTGGTCACATTTGTCCCCTCCTTTATTTTATTTTTTATTTTTTGGTTTTTTTTTTTCCAGGACCAGGAATCAAACTCACGACCTTGCACTTGCCAGGCAGGCGCTGTGCCGCTGAGCTAAATCCCCAGCCCCTGTCCCCTCCTTTAGACTTGGGGCATTTCTAATCTCCTCTTTCAAAATAAATTTATTTGTAAAGATCTAATAGTAGGTACACATCAGGGTGAATTCAAGTCTTTGCGGGTACTTCTTCCTGAGGAGTGGGGCTGAGAGGTACAGCCTTTGCATTTCAATCTTAACATTCATTCCGAAATGAAAATCTTTATTCTTATTAAATTGAGTGAAGGAGGAGGGGTCTAGTTTATATTTAAATTTTTCTACAATCTATTCAGTATGCATCTTCTTACAGGTTTTGCAAGCCCTACCTGATCCATTCTTGTGAAAATGTGAAATCTGCAGTTATCTATGAACGACCCTGACTTCCAAAGAAATCCGTTCAACCCTGATTTTTTGACAGTTCGAGGAGCATTGCCTTTAGAATAAGACGAGCTATTCGAACCCGTGGTGCCCTCTTGGACAGATCCTTTATTCTGAGTCTGAATTTCCTGATCTACTAAAATAAACTGTTAATGTTACTTGTTACCTTGGCTTCACACAGTATTTCTGAGCTGAGAGGAAACAATGTGGTGACAAGCTACACATGACCTTGGGCACCCTAAAATTTCACTAAAATTTTTTCCTAGTTGACATTCCTTTAAGTTAGCAAAATATACACTGAGCCATTCGGTTTAGACAAGAATAAAGACTATGACTTAAGTTTCCAGAAGAGCAAAAAGTTTTAAGATAGAGTGAAATAATCACTTTCTTCATTCAACAATAATAATATGAAGGCTGTAAAGTACTAATTAGAACTAAGTCCTGAATTCCTGTACATAATTTATCTGTGAAACTCGATTTATCAAAGAATAGCAAATGGTTTTATGACATTCTGAAGTAACGTAAATGAAAGAATGTGAGTAGGTTTTTAAATAATAGCCATATGAGGGCTGGGGTTATAGCTCAGCAGTACAGTTTGCCTGGCCATATTAAAGGAGCACCCCTGCCCGCCGCAAAAAAA